GACAGACACAGAGACAGACACAGAGACAGACACAGAGACACAGACAGACAGAGACAGACACAGAGACACAGACAGACAGAGACAGACACAGAGACACAGACAGACAGAGACAGACACAGAGACACAGACAGACACAGACACAGAGACACAGACAGAGAGACACAGACAGACAGACACAGAGACACAGAGACAGACACAGAGACAGACACAGAGACAGACAGAGAGACTCGAAGAGGAAAGGAGGAGTTCCAGCTTTGTTTTAAAGAGTAAGCACAAAATGTTCAGACGCTCATCACTCCCATTGGTTCCAGTTAGGTTTAAGAGCTCCTGTTCACTGTTTGCTGATATGTTTGTGTTTTTTTAATGTTTCGCTGGCTTYTGCTGATTCTGTGAACTAATTGCTCAGAGAAAGAACACAGTGAGCTGAAAACATTTCCAGTTCTCTGCAGAAATCCATTGATACTGACATTTGTTAACAACCAGAATCCAAACATAGCATCTATTAGTGATTAAAATTGAATCAATTATTGGGACTGTATTTTATAAAATACCTTACTATGTATTGACCCAAAACATGACTTGGAACACATAAAGAAAATAAAAGAATTTATCCTGACAACCCTTCAAAACAAGTCCTACTTGTTTGGCCTTTTTTTTTTTTTTTTTCAAATTGTCCCGTCATGAACCTGAACATTTAACATGTTAACTGAGGCCTGTGGAGTCTGAGGTGAAGCTCTTGGGTTTTCTGTCATTTCTCTGGGTATTGTACAGTCTGACAGTCTGACCTTGAGGTAACGTCCACTCCTGGGAAGCGTGTCACCTGTCCTGGATGTTTTCTCGATTCTATTCAATTCAGTTTATTTATATACCGTAGTGCACAAATCGCAACAAAAGTCGTCTCAGGGCACCGTACAAAAAAAATCAATCTAAGAAATACAGCAGTTTGTGTTGAATCTTCATCACAGTCTCCCATCCTGAGCAGCACATTGGCAGCAATGGAGAACTCCAGATTGTTTGGGAAATGACCCTTACAGTTTGTTTCCCATTCTATATTTTATTTCAGGACAAATAAGAAAAATGTAGATTGCAATTCTTAAAGTAGTGGGGTTTTTGTTTATTAGAACAAATGTTTGGCACAGATCTGGATGTTTGTGATAACAAACATTTGTTATTTAATTCAATTAAAGTTCATGGTAATCATCTGAGTAATGGCAGGGGCACAACATAACACAACTGACTCACCCCCAGGCTGAATAATCCTTACTGTGTTATCTATACTATATACAATGAAAAGAGGAAAAAGCTTTGTGGTTCTAAAAAGCAGGTTAAATGACTRATTTTATTTATAATATGTGGGATCTTTTTTGAACTGTTTGTGGCTTTTATTAAGATGTTGCATCAAAAACTGCAATTTATTTCTTCCTAAAACGGAATTAAACTTCCTGAATTGTCCTTTTTGTGACTTTTTATTTAAAGTAAATGAGTTATGTACCTTTGTTTAAAATTCCTAAAGTGTTCATGAAATCTGCCAGATGATGTAGACAAAGTACCACAAAATTAAAGTATTAAACCCCTTTTTTTGTCTGCAGCTGATGCTGGGCACAATCATAATACTTCTGATTTGTTTTTGTTTTTCCACAGGACTTCAGCTTTTTAGCCGTAACTGTGACAAAATAACCTTTGAAGAGAGTTTCCAAGTATCCAGCCTCAGCATATTATTTAAAAGAAATCTAATCTTGAGTCATGTGAGTCAAGTTATTAAAAACCGGAAATTCAAAGTGTGATAAACAAAACAACCATTCGGAAGGTTCATACCAATGACGCTGACACCTCTGGCAAAAACAGACTACATAAACTTTGAGTTCTGTGGTTGGAAGAAAACAAAACCAAAAACATGTTTGAATCTTTTCCAGTGAATGCAGCATGGTTTCAAGTTCAGTTTGGGACAAGGTGAAGATCAGAAGAATGGATTTCTTCTGACATTCTTTTGGACAGAGATCTTTTAAAACCCCAGAGGACCTATAAAAGTGACTTTTAAATTAGTTTTTATTGTTTTAGATGGCAGTGGCTTGAATAAATTGACGCTCTGAAACAGAATAAAAATATAGCGTGTTTTCCTCAGTGTCCAATTTCTGCTTCACACAGGTGTGCTCAGACAACCAAACACCATCCATTTATATAAAACCAGATGTGAGGCTGGGGGTGGTGTAAAAGTGACAGAGATCTTTAATCACACAGCAATCAGCACTACTGGCGTCGTTGCATCACGTTCCGCACACACACATGTACAAACACAATAACTGGGTGTGCAAGGCTAGGAGTCATGGGTGRGGGCAGGTTTGAATACCTGCAGAGCAAGATCACCTGTCTTGCATCATTTAAAGCTTCAGGCAGCCAATGGGAGGACTGGGCACACTGATAGCAGAGGCAGGAAGTCCATTCTTGGTATGGGTGTGAAAGTTTGGCGATCCTTTAACACACACACTCGCATGCACGGAGTGTAATTAAATAAACAGCTCGTGGAGTATGTGGCCTTGCAGCTTTTCAAAAAGCAGCGTTGCCGCCTCCGCTGTTTCATGTGAACAAAAACAAGCAGAAGCCTGAGTCACAGTAGCTGTCTGTGTTTGAGAGTTCTTGTAGAAATGAGACCCATCAAATGGCCAATTGTGTTACAGATTACTACTTTCCTTTTTAACAAAACGCCATCATTCACACAAGGCTGATATGCAATCAGAAATGTGCAGTTAGCAGTGGTGAAAGCAGCTCCGGCTCTGTGATGAGAGATGCTGACCTAAGATGAACCTAGTGTTGAATACAAATATATTTAAAGCTTCCGTATAGGACGGTCACATGATAATAATAGATTTACTTCCCAGTCACAAAGTTTCCTTAACACATCTATCTACTGATACGTTGTACTTTAAAAATAAAAAATAAAATTAATAGTTGACATATTTTAGCACAAAGTCAATTTTCCACTCTACCATTCTACTTGTTTTTTGTTTGTTTTGGGTTTTTTTGTTTTTTTTTTTACTCAGCTGTGCAGGGACGAAAAAACCACCCAGACGTTAATTTACTAGAAAACACTGGCTCTGGTGAAATTTTTCCAAGTTTACTATCAACATGTAGCTATTTTCCATCTAAAGGTTTCCTCTCAGTTCAATGTGAAAACCCAAAAGAAACAATAATAACAAAACACTAAGAACCAATATTAGTCTGTATAAAATACTGGGAAGAATTAAGGCATCTGAAAATTCTGCAGTTGTTGCTTTTTAAAAATGTAATCAGAAATTTAAGTAGAGACATTTGAAATCGTGATCTCTGTATCTTATTTTGAAATTCTCAATGTTTGTCCAATGCTTATTGAGTTGTACAAAAAAAGACAACTAATTGGCCATTTTTTCTGTCACTTCTACTCAAATTTGTTTTGATGTTAATTTGGCGCCAGGCGGAGAACGTGTGTTTTACAGTCACGGCTGCAAGAGTGTGCACAGCTCTAACGTAAGCTAGATAAACACATTGATCCAAATGAATCAGAAGCTGGTGACTCTCTAGTATTTTGTTAATTTCTTCCTCTTCTACAGAAAGGGATTCATTCGACAAATATTCACCTGTAATTTCACTTGAACTTTTCCCCATAGGTGCAGTATGTCATCCAAGGTTATCACAAGAGGAGAGAGTATATCGCTGCTTTTCTCAGTCATTTTGGAACGTGAGTGAGCCATTATGGTCCATATCGGCACTTATTAATGACAGTGAAGCATGGCAATACTCAAGGTTTTTTTTTTGTTTTGTTTTGTTTTGTAGMGGGGTAGTAGAGTATGATGCAGAAGGGTTCACGAAACTCACCCTTCTCCTCATGTGGAAAGACTTTTGCTTCCTAGTTCATGGTAGGAGAGACACAAAAATAACMTGTTTTTACAAGTTGGTTTGATTACTTTTGACTTARTGTTGTTTCCTACATCTGTCCTCCCATTCTTATGCACCTCGTAGTGGATCTCCCACTGTACTTCCCCAGGGATCAGCCAACTCTCACCTTCCAGTCTGTGTACCACTTCACCAACAGCGGTCAGCTTTATTCTCAAGTGCAGACGTCMTATCCGTACAGCCCGCGCTGGGACGGCAACGAGATGGCCAAAAGAGCAAAGTATGTTCAATGTGTCACTCAAAAAACTGGAAATAAACATATCCACCTTTTATATTCAGTTTTTTTTTTTTTTTTTTGTCAAGTGTTTGAAACACAATTTAATTTACATTTTAATAATAATTGTGTTTTATTTTCATTCAGGGCATATTTCAAGAGCTTCATCCCTCAGTTTCAAGAGGGAGCCTTCACCAATGGAAAACTCTAATATTCCCTCATGTCTGGGAAGTTTTGGGTCTGAGTGTGTGGCCTTGTGTGTGTGTGTGTGTAAATACAAGGATGCACACAGAGAGAATTGCCACTTTTTTGTTGTGTTTTTCTTTTTAAACTTTCACATCCCAGCAGAATCTTCAATGACTGTAAAAGCTTTTATTTTGAAAATGCAATAGTCTGTGTAGTACGACTTGTTAGTTCAATAATTTTTTTTTAAATAATATTATTGTTTTGTTGTAGGGATGCTTTCTGGAAACTCCACACAAAGATTTATACATCATTTGCATCAAAACAAGCTTGAAGGAAGAATCTTTGTTTACTCGTTTTTTCTGTTTTTGTCTTTTTTTTTCCTGRTTTTTGTCACTTGGGATTCTCAAGTTTTGTTACACTCTGTGTTAAAATCACCTACAACTTGTTTTTGAACTGTTAWAATACTATTTCCATTCTGATTCTGGGAAGTCTTTTTTAACTGACATTGATGGTACTGCGAGTTACTGATAAACATGTTTGTGCAAAATTTCTTTACAGTAAAACCAGTTTTTTTCTAATTCCGTCATATTCTTGTTTTCACTGGATACAATGTTGAAAACATCTTGTGGTAGGCATGAAAACAAAATCAAATTTCTTCAAATCTGGGGGGCTTAGTTGTGGTCAAAAATCTCCAAAAATGTGTGAACGTCTGCTTTTTATGCAACACTTTTGTGTCTGATGCATTTTAAAGCTTWCAGTGAAGCCATTTTGCTTTAACAGGACATCAGTGTGACTGAGTTATATAGAAAAAAAATGTGTSTGTGCTTAAATGTGTGTCTGCTCCCTTGTTTTCATCATTAAATATGAAGCTCATAGTTCGGGGTCCTTCCTGGCCTAAGGCGCAGCCCTCTGCTATATTTATTGTCGGTAAAGCAGCAACTGTCATGTCTAATTGAGAACTATAGGGTGAATGTTTCGAGGGCATTTAATAGCATCAAGGCTCTTAATAAAATAATTAAAACGTAAGATTCTTTTTGTCTTTTTCACTGCCCCGCTCCTCGTTTGTCGCTCTAACCTTTCCCGACCTGCTTTGAGAACATCCCGGCTGTCAGCCGCAGGACAAGCCGCTCTTTGTTTTATGGGGGGGGTGTTGGGGAGGAGTTGTGATTGGAGAAGTTCAGTGGAGGGGGTAGCAGCGTCTTTTAACAAGCTCGAGTTAAAAGAAGAGTTGAAGTTGACAGGAGGCTTCAGGCGTCACAACTCCAAGCTTCAAAAGGTACCAATTGATTTTCGATGGACGTGCTCACTGGAGTGTGTGGAGCCCAACGTGTAAAATCTGCTGCTTGACATCAGTTAAAACACAGAGAGTGACTGAATCATCAGCTTGTGTCCCAAATCACTCCCTTGAATGCATAGTAAAAGGTAAAGTTCACTAGCTTGGAATGTCAATTAAAGCAGACGTTCACTCCTGAAGTTAACCCGAGCCGACGTAAGCCCTTTAAGAAATTTGTAAACAATTCTCCCCAAAGTGGCTTAAACTGTGTCACCAAGTCACATCGATTTAAAAAAATAAAATAAAAATTTGGAACCTAAACAGAGCTCACCTTTACATGATTTTAAGCAACTTAACGTGGATTTATCCGGCGTTAATGATCCTGTGAAGGTACCTTTTGAAGATGTATTTCTCAGCTCCCTGAATCACAGTGCAGAGGTCTGCCAACCCTTCCGGCTAATACTRCAAATCCACTAATCCACGCGTCTTTGAGAGATCTCAACAGCAGTCGGATGGAATAATTACAGGCTGGAAAAATTAGTTTGGAATCTTTGGACATGGAATGATTAAACTGATGGGGCTTTTATGTGGGTGCAGCCTGGCTGAACAGATTCCAGCAACAACTGAGAAACGCGACGGTTGTTTTCCCCTCCGAGGTTAAATGGGCGGTCGAGTTGAGTGGTGTTTCTGCTTTTAACCATTTTCTTGGCTCGGGGGTTAAAAGATTGAAGCCTTCCCTGGTGGCGAATCTGTTCAGAAGTAGGTGCCGTCAACATGAAGGAGCATTAGATTAACATTAACTGCGCCGGTGACAACCCTATTAGCATGTAGCTTGGAGGCGCTAAGGACCTGCCAGCCTGGAGAAATGACAAGTGTGTGAAACAGGATCATTTAAAGCCAAGCAACAAGCACCTTCCCAGGCAAACAACCTTTCTGTGGGCTTCACACGTTATCCCAAAAGAGTCGCCGGAAACTTTTTGAGGAGCAGAAAAGGACATCAGAGGCGGTCAAAAGTTCCACGGAAAGGGACTGAACCCAACAGAAAAAGAGGGGAAGTGTGTGTGACTGTGAGAGTGATTGAAAGTCCTGAATCATCCTTGTTGAGATGACAAACAGTTGCGAGGATGAGGTAATCGGAGGGGAAGCGAGGAGCGTCCAAAAGGCCTGAATATGTCAGCGAGCGGTGGAGGTGCACAGGCTTGTTTATTGGAGTTTGTTTACTTTCCTCTCCTGTCTCCGCGTCCGAGTTGTCCAAGTCTGTCGACCTCGCCTGAATCGTTGAGTTCTTCCGCCTTGATTTCTTTTCGCTGCGGCCTTTTGATTGAACATAGTCACCCAGAAAAGAGCTACTGTGAGGTACTTTCCAAAATTCAGAGTGACGTGTCTGTTCTTCCCTCTTCCTCCTCATCTTCAGCGCGTTCGGAGGGGAGGGATGGATTTCCGAGGCGYTGCGGCGTAGGGTTGTTGACGCGAGCCATGTTGAGGATGATGGAGCTGAAAGGCTTAACTAATTTTGGAAAGAGAGCAGGAGGAGGGGAGCGAAGGGGGGATTTGGGGTCTTTTGTTACAGCCTGTTTGATCTGGGAATTCGAAAGGAGGGGGGGTGGGAATGGATGATGTTGTGGAAATGAGAGAAATACTTCTCAGGTCTCTCACTTAACATTTCAGTCCCATGTCAACGGGGCAGTGCCCTCCCCACCCAAAKCTTTAGATAATAACTGGATCTAGTTAAATCCTGATTGTTAATTGCTAATTACTTGTCGTACACGAGAAGCCAGGAGAGCGTGGCTAAGCTGATCAGATGAATTTTCGCCCAGGAGCTTGTAGGTTTTCCTGTTTTTTTGTCTGGTGTYCAGGGTGTTCTGGTTGAGCTGGTTTTTGACAAGATAAAGAGAGATTTTCTTTCTTTATTTATTTTTAAGTAGGGAGGAGTCCTCCTTATTCCCCCCTCTGGGTGCAATCATGGAAACTTGATTTAAACCTTAACTAAAGCACATCCTGCAGGTGTTTTTTTTTTCTTCTTTTCTGGAATGCAGCTCCTGGTGCTCCTTAAGAAAGCTGCTTGGCTTTGCTTCAACGTTCATGATTGTCATAGAAGATGAGATTCAATTTGCTTAAAAATACTGAAACTGGCAGCTGTGTTTCCTCTGCAGATTCTGAGCTATAATAGACTTTTTTACCGGGAAGGTTTGGCTCTCGTTTGCGATGCGTGCTCTCCAGCATTGCTTCATTATCTGATGATTTTGTGAAATTAGCATTAAGATCAGTCATGCAGCTTGGATTAGTTCAAGGTGTTTACTCGCTSTAATTTACTCCTGTTTCTCTGTGGCCTTTCCCTTGCCCCGTTTCCAGCCCTTCGTCCTCCCCCAGCTACCTGAGGAGCTGTCAGTCTGGATTGCGGCGCTGTCGGTTCAGCCTGTCAGGCTGAGGGACGCGTTCCCATCAGCCGCGGACACTGATAGACCTGTCAGGTGGGATGACAGCTGCAAGTGAAGACGCACACCGACAGGTACATGTAATGTGACAAGACTCCCGCTTCCCTTCGCCTCCCCCTCGTTCGAAAAATAAATACCTATAAGTTGGAGGAGTGCAGGAGGGATGAGGATGTTTCCTGACGAGTTGAGAGAAAGTTTGTTTCCTTTGAGCCTGACAGGATGTGATGCGGCCYCGTGATGAAGCACACCAGTTCTGTCAGCATCGGCTTCAGAACAATATTTCCATCAAATTTAAGGCTAATATTTTTGGGGTCCAACTTATAAGCATCTTAAACATTGCAACTAAACAAATTGGACTTGTACYAATATAATTATTTCAAACTTTGATAAACCTGTTTTTAAAGAAATGCCAACAAAGTGGTGTTTCTGCAGTTATAGACAAAAGTTAGAAAGAATGTCTCACTTCCTGTGAAGCTCTGATTGGTCCGCTCCATGGCCTGACATAGTATCCCACACTCAGCTGCTAAAACTCAAATTCCAATGTTAGGTGTCACTGGATTCCATTTGTACACACAACTCCAAGCTCAGGATAAGTATTTCTACAAAACAACTTTTTTTTTTGCCTAATGTTGATATCAGGGGTGTAGWTCGGGGTTTACTTGTTTCTCTGCTCCAACACACCTGATTCAGGGACTGAATTCCAGAGGTTTATAGTAACTAAGTCATTTACTTTGTTACAGTACTTAAGTGGTTTTTTGAGGATTTGTAATTTTACCAACTATTTTTTAAATAGCTACTTTTATTTTTTTATTTTGTTACATTTTAAGCCTAAAAATTATGATTTTACTTCTTTACTTTAAAATGTAACACCMACTTGTTACAAAATTAAATATGTTTGAACTAATGAAAGATGTTTATGCGCTCTAAGAAAAGGAAGTGTTGAATTTACTCAACAAAGTCATGTCATCTGGCTCCACTAAGCCTAGTTGAGTAAATTGAGCAAAGAATATACATATATTGCTCAATTTACTCAACCTGGCTTAGTGGAACCAGTTTGTTTCAGTAAATTCAACAATTTATTTATTAGGGACTGTGTAAAAGTACTTTTACTTTTACTTTCCCAATTTTTGTGAACAGTTTTATGACTTTTACTTAAGTAGTTTTCTCATCAGTGAAATGTGTTTTTACCAAAATCCTTTTCTGTTCATGTAATTTTACTTTTACTTTTTTTTTTCAAGTACTTTATAGACGTCTGCTGAATTCACACTTCAGGTTCTATAGAAGCCTGTTAATCACCCATTCATTGGAATCAGGTATGTTGGACGTTTCAACAATTAATCTCCATCAAACATAGGGTACTATATAAAAATCATTACAAGCTTTCAGTTTTTTTAGATTTTGTGTTCATGAAGCCAAACCTTCTTGAGTTGAGGGTTTGTCCCACTTCATTCCCTGACTGCTTCAACTATTTTAGGTTCAGGACCGGACCATTATCCTGACCATTATCTTTAAGACATCATGAAGGCCGAGGAACAATTTATCAGGACCACTTTAAAATGMTACAAGAAAGTCTGACTCTCTGGAAGCAAAATATAAAGAAKAGAGGGATGATTCAAGACCTTTGCTTTGTGCTGTATAGTGCACTTTACACATGTCATGTGGAGTTCAGCTTGTATTGTGATTTTCCGACTTGAAGAAAAGAACAAACGCCTTTTGAGCAGCGTATCACTCCTCAGATACTCGGCCATAAAGTGAGCTGCTGTTTTTTGTTTTTGTTTTGTTTTTCAAAATGCAGTCATAAAATATGTTCRACAATCATATAATAAAAATGAATTTATTAGTCTGAACATTAAGCAGGTTTTGGATRCACTGTATGAACATCATGCGAACTATAACGCTGTGGTTTTATTAAGATTTGTGGTTTTTGAGAGTATTTCATAGAAAATAAATSAAAGTGGACATGTCAGGCTTTTAGATCCTTCTTTMTCACATTTAAATCATTCAGTTGGATATATAAAGTAGAACTGCAATGGTTTGGTCTAAAATCTTCTTTACAGTAACTCCACAAACCTCTCATTTTGAGGCTGTGTCTTTAAATCCAAAGGAGCATTCACTGCAAAAAATGTCTACCTAACCAAGTTTTAAAATCTTAAATCAGCCAAAAAAGTCTTTTTGATCTTGTTTTGAGACTGATTTACTAAACAAGAACTGATTGTGTAAGAAAAATAATCTTGTTTTCAGAATGTGTAAGATTATTTGTCTTGTTAGTCTGAAAATTTGACTCAAATTCAGTCAAAAATTTCTGCCAATGGAGTAAGAAAATTTTACTTGGTACGATTCTTGAAATACTTMATTTMAKTCAATTTTTTCTTACTTCAAGAATATTACCAAGTAAATTATTTTTTACTCTCCTGGCAGAAATCTTTGACTTAATTTGAGTCAAATTTTRAGACTAACAAGACAAATAATCTTACACATTRTGAAAACAAGATAATTATTCTTACACAATCAGTTTTTGTTTAGTAAATCAGTCTCAAAACAAGATCAAAAAGACTTTTTAGCTGGATATAAGATTTTAAAACTAGTTAAGATGGATAGTTTTTGCAGTGTGAAGAACACCAAATTGTAGTTGTTCAGTCCATACCTTATTTAGCAATTCTGTTGCAAATAATTTGACTTGTTAGTTTATAAAACCTCACAGAAAATAGAAAAAGCTGAAAAATATGACCCAAAATAGAAAGATAATGTATCTTTGCAGCACTGGGAGGGACTGAATTCAACTTTTCTGCACTGCTGGAGGCTCCAAGT